CAGAGACAGAGAGACAGAGAGACAGAGACAGAGAGACAGTGAGACAGTGAGACAGAGACACAGAGACAGTGAGACAGTGAGACACACAGAGAGACAGAGACACAGTGAGACAGAGAGACAGTGAGACACAGAGACACAGAGACAGAGAGACAGAGAGACAGTGAGACACAGAGACACCGAGACAGTGAGACAGAGAGACAGTGAGACACAGAGACAGTGAGACACAGAGACACAGTGAGACACAGTGAGACACAGAGACAGTGAGACAGTGAGACAGAGACACAGAGATAGTGAGACACAGAGACAGTGAGACAGAGACACAGAGACAGTGAGACAGTGAGACAGTGAGACAGAGAGACACAGAGACACAGAGACAGAGAGACAGGCACAGACACAGAGACAGTGAGACACAGAGAGACACAGAGACACAGAGAGACAGAGAGACAGAGAGACAGAGAGGGAGGTGGTGGTGTGTAGTGACGCTGTCTCATAGCGCCCCAACACGGCATCATAGCGCTCAGACTCATAGCGCTCGTTGTTAAAGTACTGGGGGAGAGACACAGAGAGACACAGACAGTGAGACAGTGAGATAGAGACATAGAGACACAGAGACAGTGAGAGACAGTGAGAGACAGACAGTGAGAGACAGACAGTGAGAGACAGAGAGAGACAGAGATACATAGACAGTGAGACACAGAGACAGTGAGACAGTGAGACAGTGAGACACAGAGACAGAGACACAGAGACACAGGGGGACAGAGAGACACAGAGAGACAGAGACACAGACACACAGAGACACAGAGACAGTGAGACAGTGAGACAGAGACACAGAGACACAGACAGTGAGACACAGGGAGACAGAGACAGAGACACAGAGACAGTGAGACACAGAGACAGAGAGACAGGCACAGACACAGAGACAGTGAGACACAGAGAGACAGAGACAGTGAGACAGAGAGAGAGGGAGGTGGTGGTGTGTAGTGACGCTGTCTCATAGCGCCCCAACACGGCATCATAGCGCTCAGACTCATAGCGCTCGTTGTTAAAGTACTGGGGGAGAGACACAGAGACAGAGAGACAGTGAGACACAGAGACACAGAGACACAGAGACAGAGAGACAGTGAGACAGAGACAGTGAGAGACACAGAGACAGTGAGAGACACAGAGACAGTGAGATAGAGACACACAGAGACACAGAGAGACAGAGAGGGAGGTGGTGGTGTGTAGTGACGCTGTCTCATAGCGCCCCAACACAGCATCATAGCGCTCAGACTCATAGCACTCGTTGTTAAAGTACTGGGGGAGAGACAGAGAGACAGTGAGACACGTGAGACAGTGAGACAGAGAGACAGAGAGACAGAGACACAGAGACAGTGAGACATTGAGACAGTGAGACAGTGAGACACAGAGACAGTGAGACACAGAGACACAGAGACAGAGACAGTGAGACAGTGAGACACAGAGACAGTGAGACAGAGACGGACAGTGAGTCAGTGAGACAGTGAGACACAGAGACAAGTGAGACAGAGACAGTGAGTCAGTGAGACAGTGAGACACAGAGACAGTGAGACACAGAGACACAGAGACAGTGAGACACAGAGACAGTGAGACAGAGACAGTGAGACAGTGAGACAGTGAGACACAGAGACAGGGAGACACAGAGACACAGAGACAGTGAGACCAGAGAGACACAGAGAGACACAGAGAGACACACAGAGACACCACAGACACAGAGAGACACACAGAGGACACACAGAGACAGTGAGACACAGAGACAGTGAGACACAGAGACAGAGAGAGAGACAGAGCTGGAGACAGAGGTAAACAGACAGAGAGAGACAGAGAGAGACAGACAGAGACGGAGAGAGCTGGAGAGAGACAGCGAGATAGAGCTGGAGACAGAGAGACAGAGAGACAGAGCTGGAGACAGAGGTAGAGAGACAGAGAGAGAGACAGAGATAGAGAGACAGAGGTAGAGAGACAGAGGTAGAGAGACAGAGAGAGAGACAGAGAGAGAGACAGAGAGAGAGACACAGAGAGAGACAGAGCTGGAGACAGAGGTAGAGAGACAGAGAGAGACAGAGAGAGCTGGAGACAGGGGGTAGAGAGACAGAGAGAGACAGGGAGAGAGACAGAGAGACAAGAGAGACAGAGCTGGAGACAGAGAGAGACAGACAGGAAGGTGGAGATAGAGAGACAGAGAGACAGAGACAGAGAGAGACAGACAGACAGGAAGGTGGAGATAGAGAGACAGAGAGAGACAGAGGTAGACAGACAGAGAGAGACAGAGAGACAGGTAGAGAGAGAGACAGAGAGAGAGAGACAGACAGGAAGGTGGAGATAGAGAGACAGAGAGGACAGAGACAGAGAGAGACAGACAGACAGGTAGAGACAGAGAGACAAGAGGTAGACAGAGAGAGAGACAGGAAGGTGGAGATAGAGAGACAGGTAGAGACAGAGACAGAGAGAGACAGAGAGACAGAGGAATGTGGAGTGGTCACCACCTGACTGTTTCGTAGTTGAGATAGAGAGGACAGAGACAGACAGAGAGAGAGACAGAGACAGAGAGAGAGAGACAGGTAGACAGACAGAGAGACAGAGAGAGACAGGTAGACAGACAGACAGGTACCCAGACAGAGGAACGTGGAGTGGTCACCTTGATTGTCTCGTAGTTGAGGAGGGAGTCAGACAGACAGGTAGACAGGTAGACAGACAGGCACAGAGACAGGTAGACAGACAGACAGACAGGTACCCAGACAGAGGAACGTGGAGTGGTCACCTTCACTGTCTCGTAGTTGAGGAGGGAGTCAGAGAGACAGGTAGACAGACAGAGAGAGACAGGTAGACAGTCAGGTAGACAGGTAGACAGAGAGACAGGTAGACAGACAGACAGGTACCAGACAGAGGAACGTGGAGTGGTCACCTTCACTGTCTCGTAGTTGAGGAGGGAGTCAGACAGACAGGTACTCAGACAGAGGAACGTGGAGTGGTCACCTTCACTGTCTCGTAGTTGAGGAGGGAGTCAGACAGACAGGTACTCAGACAGAGGAACGTGGAGTGGTCACCACCTTCACTGTTTCGTAGTTGAGGAGGGAGTCAGAGACACAGAGACAGGTAGACAGGTAGAGACACAGAGACAGGTAGAGACACAGAGACAGTCAGAGACCCAGACAGAGGAACGTGGAGTGGTCACCTTCACTGTCTCGTAGTTGAGGAGGGAGTCAGACAGACAGGTCCCCAGACAGAGGAACGTGGAGTGGTCACCTTCACTGTCTCGTAGTTGAGGAGGGAGTCAGACAGACAGGTAGAGACACAGAGACAGTCAGGTAGACACAGACAGACAGGTACTCAGACAGAGGAATGTGGAGTGGTCACCTTCACTGTCTCGTAGTTGAGGAGGGAGTCAGACAGACAGGTACCAGACAGAGGAACGTGGAGTGGTCACCTTCACTGTCTCGTAGTTGAGGAGGGAGTCAGACAGACAGGTACTCAGACAGAGGAACGTGGAGTGGTCACCTTCACTGTTTCGTAGTTGAGGAGGGAGTCAGACAGACAGGTACTCAGACAGAGGAACGTGGAGTGGTCACCTTCACTGTCTCGTAGTTGAGGAGGGAGTCAGACAGACAGGTACTCAGACAGAGGAACGTGGAGTGGTCACCTTCACTGTCTCGTAGTTGAGGAGGGAGTCAGACAGACAGGTACTCAGACAGAGGAACGTGGAGTGGTCACCACCTTCACTGTCTCGTAGTTGAGGAGGGAGTCAGACAGACAGGTACTCAGACAGAGGAACGTGGAGTGGTCACCACCTTCACTGTCTCGTAGTTGAGGAGGGAGTCAGACAGACAGGTACTCAGACAGAGGAACGTGGAGTGGTCACCTTCACTGTCTCGTAGTTGAGGAGGGAGTCAGAGAGACAGGTAGAGACACAGAGACAGTCAGGTACTCAGACAGAGGAACGTGGAGTGGTCACCTTCACTGTCTCGTAGTTGAGGAGGGAGTCAGACAGACAGGTACTCAGACAGAGGAACGTGGAGTGGTCACCTTCACTGTCTCGTAGTTGAGGAGGGAGTCAGAGACACAGAGACAGACACAGGTAGAGACAGGTGGACAGACAGGTACTCAGACAGAGGAACGTGGAGTGGTCACCACCTTCACTGTCTCGTAGTTGAGGAGGGAGTCAGACAGACAGGTACTCAGACAGAGGAACGTGGAGTGGTCACCTTCACTGTCTCGTAGTTGAGGAGGGAGTCAGAGACACAGACAGACAGGTAGACAGACAGGTACTCAGACAGAGGAACGTGGAGTGGTCACCTTCACTGTCTCGTAGTTGAGGAGGGAGTCAGACAGACAGGTACTCAGACAGAGGAACGTGGAGTGGTCACCTTCACTGTCTCGTAGTTGAGGAGGGAGTCAGAGACACAGACAGACAGGTAGAGACAGGTGGACAGACAGGTACTCAGACAGAGGAACGTGGAGTGGTCACCTTCACTGTCTCGTAGTTGAGGAGGGAGTCAGACAGACAGGTACTCAGACAGAGGAACGTGGAGTGGTCACCTTCACTGTTTCGTAGTTGAGGAGGGAGTCAGAGACACAGACAGACAGGTAGAGACAGGTGGACAGACAGGTACTCAGACAGAGGAACGTGGAGTGGTCACCTTCACTGTCTCGTAGTTGAGGAGGGAGTCAGACAGACAGGTACTCAGACAGAGGAACGTGGAGTGGTCACCTTCACTGTCTCGTAGTTGAGGAGGGAGTCAGAGACACAGACAGACAGGTAGAGACAGGTGGACAGACAGGTACTCAGACAGAGGAACGTGGAGTGGGTCACCTTCACTGTCTCGTAGTTGAGGAGGGAGTCAGACAGACAGGTACTCAGACAGAGGAACGTGGAGTGGTCACCTTCACTGTCTCGTAGTTGAGGAGGGAGTCAGAGACACAGACAGACAGGTAGAGACAGGTGGACAGACAGGTACTCAGACAGAGGAACGTGGAGTGGTCACCTTCACTGTCTCGTAGTTGAGGAGGGAGTCCACCGCTCGTTTTCCAGCTTCGTTGTCAGCTTTGTTCATCTCCACTCGGAAACGCGTCCTGGGGGAGGGGGGGTCACGGGGGGGTCACGGAGGGGTCATGGGGGGGTCACGGGGGGGGGGTCACTGGGGGGTCACGAGTCTCTGACTGAGTGAGTGTGTGATTGAGTGAGTCTGTGGAGTGAGTCTGTGAGTGAGTCTCTGAGTGAGTCTGTGAGTGAGTCTGTGAGTGAGTGTGAGTGAGTCTCTGAGTGAGTCTCTGAGTGAGTCTCTGAGTGAGTGAGTCTGTGAGTGAGTCTCTGACTGAGTGAGTCTGTGACTGAGTGAGTCTCTGAGTGAGTCTCTGGCTGATTGAGTCTCTGGCTGAGTGAGTCTCTGACTGAGTGAGTCTGTGAGTGAGTCTGTGACTGAGTGAGTCTCTGAGTGAGTTTCTGACTGAGCCTGACTGAGTCTGAGTGAGTGAGTCTGAGTGAGTGAGTCTGAAGTGAGCGAGTCTCTGAGTGAGTCTCTGACTGAGTCTCTGAGTCTCTGAGTGAGTCTCTGAGTGAGTGAGTCTCTGAGTGAGTCTCTGAGTGAGTCTCTGAGTGAGTCTCTGAGTGAGTCTCTGACTGAGTCTCTGAGGGAGTCTCTGAGGGAGTCTCTGAGGGAGTCTCTGAGGGAGTCTCTGAGGGAGTCTCTGAGTGAGTCTCTGACTAAGTCTGTGAGTGAGTCTGTGAGTGAGTCTCTGACTGAGTGAGTCTCTGACTGAGTCTCTGACTGAGTCTCTGAGTGAGTCTCTGAGTGAGTCTCTGAGTGAGTCTCTGAGTGAGTCTCTGACTGAGTGAGTCTCTGACTGAGTGTCTGAGTGAGTCTCAGAGTGAGTCTCAGAGTGAGTGAGTCTCTGAGTGAGTCTCTGAGCGAGTCTCTGAGCGAGTCTCTGAGTGAGTCTCTGAGTGAGTCTCTGAGTGAGTGAGTCTCTGAGTGAGTCTCTGAGTGAGTCTCTGACTGAGTGAGTCTGTGAGTGAGTCTCTGACTGAGTCTGTGAGTGAGTCTCTGAGTGAGTCTCTGACTGAGTCTCTGATTGAGTCTCTGACTAAGTCTCTGAGTGAGTCTCTGAGTGAGTCTCTGAGTGAGTCTCTGACTGAGTGAGTCTGTGAGTGAGTCTCTGACTGAGTCTCTGACTGAGTCTCTGACTGAGTCTCTGACTGAGTCTGTGAGTGAGTCTCTGACTGAGTCTCTGACTGAGTCTGTGAGTGAGTCTGTGAGTGAGTCTCTGACTGAGTGAGTCTGTGACTGAGTGAGTCTGTGACTGAGTGAGTCTGTGAGTGAGTCTCTGACTGAGTCTCTGAGTGAGTCTCTGACTAAGTCTCTGACTGAGTCTCTGAGTGAGTCTCTGAGTGAGTCTCTGAGTGAGTCTCTGACTGAGTCTCTGAGTGAGTCTCTGAGTGAGTCTCTGAGTGAGTCTCTGACTGAGTGAGTCTGTGAGTGAGTCTCTGAGTGAGTCTCTGAGTGAGTCTCTGACCGAGTCTCTGACTGAGTCTCTAACTAAGTCTCTGAGTGAGTCTCTGAGTGAGTCTGTGAGTGAGTCTGTGAGTAAGTCTGTGAGTCTGTGAGTGAGTCTCTGAGTGAGTCTGTTAGTGAGTCTCTGAGTGAGTCTCTGAGTGAGTCTCTGACTGAGTGAGTCTCTGAGTGAGTCTCTGAGTGAGTCTCTGAGTGAGTCTCTGAGTGAGTCTCTGAGTGAGTCTCTGAGTGAGTCTGTGAGTATCTGAGTGAGTCTGTGAGTGAGTCTGTGAGTGAGTCTCTGACTGAGTCTCTGACTAAGTCTGTGAGTGAGTCTCTGACTGAGTGAGTCTGTGAGTGAGTCTCTGAGTGAGTCTGTGAGTGAGTCTCTGAGTGAGTCTCTGAGTGAGTCTCTGAGTGAGTCTCTGAGTGAGTCTCTGACTGAGTCTCTGACTGAGTCTCTGACTGAGTCTCTGACTGAGTCTCTGACCGAGTGAGTCTGTGAGTGAGTCTGTGAGTGAGTCTGTGAGTGAGTCTGTGAGTGAGTCTGTGAGTGAGACTCTGAGTGAGTCTCTGAGTGAGTCTCTGACTGAGTGAGTCTGTGAGTGAGACTCTGAGTGAGTCTCTGAGTGAGTCTCTGACTGAGTCTCTGACCGATTCTGACTGAGTCTCTGACTGAGTCTGTGAGTGAGTCTGAGTGAGTCTCTGAGTGAGTCTCTGAGTGAGTCTGTGAGTGAGTCTTTGACTGACTGAGTCTCTGACTGAGTCTCTGAGTGAGTCTCTGAGTGAGTCTCTGAGTGAGTCTCTGAGCAAGTCTGTGAGTGAGTCTCTGAGTGAGTATGTGAGTGAGTCTGTGAGTGAGTCTGTGAGTGAGTCTGTGAGTGAGTCTGTGAGTGAGTCTCTGAGCGAGTCTCTGAGCGAGTCTCTGACTGAGTCTCTGACTGAGTGAGTCTGTGAGTGAGTCTCTGACTGAGTCTCTGACTGAGTCTCTGACTGAGTCTCTGACTGAGTCTGTGAGTGAGTCTCTGACTGAGTCTCTGACTGAGTCTGTGAGTGAGTCTGTGAGTGAGTCTCTGACTGAGTGAGTCTGTGACTGAGTGAGTCTGTGACTGAGTGAGTCTGTGAGTGAGTCTCTGACTGAGTCTCTGAGTGAGTCTCTGACTAAGTCTCTGACTGAGTCTCTGAGTGAGTCTCTGAGTGAGTCTCTGACTGAGTCTCTGAGTGAGTCTCTGAGTGAGTCTCTGAGTGAGTCTCTGACTGAGTGAGTCTGTGAGTGAGTCTCTGAGTGAGTCTCTGAGTGAGTCTCTGACCGAGTCTCTGACTGAGTCTCTAACTAAGTCTCTGAGTGAGTCTCTGAGTGAGTCTGTGAGTGAGTCTGTGAGTAAGTCTGTGAGTCTGTGAGTAAGTCTCTGAGTGAGTCTGTTAGTGAGTCTCTGAGTGAGTCTCTGAGTGAGTCTCTGACTGAGTGAGTCTCTGAGTGAGTCTCTGAGTGAGTCTCTGAGTGAGTCTCTGAGTGAGTCTCTGAGTGAGTCTCTGAGTGAGTCTCTGAGTGAGTCTCTGACTGAGTCTCTGACTGAGTCTCTGACTGAGTCTCTGACTGAGTCTCTGACCGAGTGAGTCTGTGAGTGAGTCTGTGAGTGAGTCTGTGAGTGAGTCTGTGAGTGAGTCTGTGAGTGAGACTCTGAGTGAGTCTCTGAGTGAGTCTCTGACTGAGTGAGTCTGTGAGTGAGACTCTGAGTGAGTCTCTGAGTGAGTCTCTGACTGAGTCTCTGACCGATTCTGACTGAGTCTCTGACTGAGTCTGTGAGTGAGTCTGAGTGAGTCTCTGAGTGAGTCTCTGAGTGAGTCTGTGAGTGAGTCTTTGACTGACTGAGTCTCTGACTGAGTCTCTGAGTGAGTCTCTGAGTGAGTCTCTGAGTGAGTCTCTGAGCAAGTCTGTGAGTGAGTCTCTGAGTGAGTATGTGAGTGAGTCTGTGAGTGAGTCTGTGAGTGAGTCTGTGAGTGAGTCTCTGAGCGAGTCTCTGAGCGAGTCTCTGACTGAGTCTCTGACTGAGTGAGTCTGTGAGTGAGTCTCTGAGTGAGCCTCTGAGTGAGTCTCTGAGTGAGTCTCTGACTGAGTCTGTGAGTGAGTCTCTGATTGAGTCTCTGATTGAGTCTCTGACTGAGTCTCTGAGTGAGTCTCTGAGTGAGTCTCTGACTGAGTGAGTCTGTGAGTGAGTCTCTGAGTGAGTCTCTGAATGAGTCTGTGAGTGAGTCTGTGAGTGAGTCTCTGACTAAGTCTCTGAGTGAGTCTCTGAGGGAGTCTCTGACTAAGTCTCTGAGTGAGTCTCTGACTAAGTCTCTGAGTGAGTCTCTGACTGAGTCTCTGAGTGAGTCTGTGAGTGAGTCTGTGAGTGAGTCTCTGACTGAGTCTCTGACTGAGTCTCTGACTGAGTCTCTGAGTGAGTCTCTGAGTGAGTCTCTGAGTGAGTCTCTGACTAAGTCTCTGAGTGAGTCTCTGAGTGAGTCTCTGAGTGAGTCTCTGAGTGAGTCTCTGAGTGAGTCTCTGAGTGAGTCTCTGAGTGAGTCTCTGAGTGAGTCTCTGAGTGAGTCTCTGAGTGAGTCTGTGAGTGAGTCTCTGACTAAGTCTGAGTGAGTCTGTGAGTGAGTCTCTGAGTGAGTCTGTGAGTGAGTCTTTGACTGAGTGAGTCTCTGAGTGAGTCTCTGAGTGAGTCTCTGACTAAGTCTCTGAGTGAGTCTCTGACTGAGTCTCTGAGTGAGTCTCTGAGTGAGTCTCTGACTGAGTGAGTCTCTGAGTGAGTCTCTGAGTGAGTCTCTGACTAAGTCTCTGAGTGAGTCTCTGAGTGAGTCTCTGAGTGAGTCTCTGAGTGAGTCTCTGAGTGAGTCTCTGAGTGAGTCTGTGAGTGAGTCTCTGAGTGAGTCTCTGAGTGAGTCTCTGAGTGAGTCTCTGAGTGAGTCTCTGACTAAGTCTCTGAGTGAGTCTCTGAGTGAGTCTGTGAGTGAGTCTCTGACTAAGTCTGTGTGAGTCTGTGAGTGAGTCTTACCTCCACTGAGTCACTCCCACCGTGAACGCCGTGTAGGCTGCCAGCGTTCCCATGGCAACGAGAGAGAACTCCAGGCCGCACTTGTAGTACTGGCAAAGACAAAGGCACCCCGGGTAGCTCGAGCTCACTGTTGGGACAAGTGCTGGGAGCATTGATGAGACAAAGGCGAAAATTTGGGTGAGTGGGTGGGTGAGTGAGTGGGTGGGTGAGTGGGTGGTTGAGTGAGTGAGTGGGTGGGTGAGTGGGTGGGTGAGTTAGTGAGTGGGTGAGTGAGTGGGTGAGTGGGTGAGTGGGTGAGTGAGTGGGTGAGTGGGTGGGTGTTTGAGTGAGTGGGTGAGTGAGTGGGTGAGTGGGTGGGTGGTTGAGTGAGTGGGTGAGCGAGTGGGTGAGTGAGTGAGTGGGTGAGTGGGTGAGTGAATGGGTGAGTGAGTGAGTGAGTGGGTGGGTGGGTGAGTGGGTGGGTGAGTGAGTGGGTGGGTGGTTGAGTGAGTGAGTGGGTGGGTGAGTGACTGACTGAGTGACTGGGTGAGTGACTGAGTGAGTGAGTGGGTGAGTGAGTGGGTGAGTGAGTGGGTGGGTGGTTGAGTGAGTGAGTGGGTGGGTGAGTGACTGACTGAGTGACTGGGTGAGTGACTGAGTGAGTGAGTGGGTGAGTGGTTGAGTGAGTTAGTGAGTGAGTGAGTGACTGACTGACTGAGTGACTGGGTGGGTGGGTGGTTGAGTGAGTGGGTGAGTGAGTGAGTGAGTGGGTGGGTGGTTGAGTGAGTTAGTGAGTGAGTGAGTGAGTGACTGACTGAGTGAGTGACTGGATGAGTGACTGAGTGAGTGAGTGGGTGGTTGAGTTAGTGAGTGGGTGAGTGAGTGACTGACTGACTGACTGGGTGAGTGAGTGAGTGGGTGGGTGGTTGAGTGAGTGGGTGAGCGAGCGAATGGGTGGGTGGTTGAGTGAGTTAGTGAGTGAGTGACTGACTGAGTGAGTGAGTGGGTGAGTGACTGAGTGAGTGAGTGAGTGGGTGAGTGAGTTAGTGGGTGGGTGGTTGAGTGAGTTAGTGAGTGAGTGACTGGATGAGTGACTGAGTGAGTGAGTGACTGGGTGGGTGGGTGAGTGAGTGGGTGGGTGAGTGGGTGAGTGGGTGGTTGAGTGAGTTAGTGAGTGAGTGACTGATTGACTGAGTGACTGGGTGAGTGACTGAGTGAGTGAGTGGGTGGGTGGTTGAGTGAGTTAGTGAGTGAGTGAGTGACTGAGTGAGTGAGTGAGTCGGTGAGTAAGTGGGTGACTGAGTGAGTGAGTGACTGAGTGAGTGGGTGACTGACTGAGTGAGTGACTGAGTGACCGGGTGACTGAGTGAGTGACTGAGTGGGTGAGTGACTGAGTGACCGGGTGAGTGAGTGACTGAGTGACCGGGTGAGTGAGTGAGTGACTGAGTGGGTGAGTGAGTGAGTGACTGAGTGAGTGAGTGACTGAGTGACCGGGTGAGTGACTGAGTGACCGGGTGAGTGAGTGAGTGACCGAGTGAGTGACTGAGTGAGTGACTGACTGACTGACTGAGTGACTGAGTGACTGAGTGACCGGGTGAGTGACCGGGTGAGTGAGTGAGTGACTGAGTGAGTGACTGACTGACTGACTGAGTGAGTGACTGAGTGACTGAGTGACCGGGTGAGTGAGTGAGTGAGTGACTGACTGACTGAGTGACTGACCACCCGACCGACCGACCGACCCAACGACTCAACCCACCCCACTCCACACCACCACCCACCCACCACACAACACCCACACCTCACCAGAATCCCGCTGACCAGGGCCATCTCGAGCGCCGTGGGCCCGAGGTTGAAGACGACCGCGCTGAGCAGGAAGGCCAGGGCACGAGTGCCCCGGTCGAGCGCCCTCACCAGCGCCCCCGTGTGGCGCTCCGCGTGGAACTCCGCCCCCAGCGAGTGGAGGCGCTGGAAGACGGCAACGGCGAGCGAGCGCACAGACCGCTGGGCCACGGCCGAGAAGGCGACGGAGCGCAGCTCAGCGAAGAGGGCCGAGCCGACACGGGCGGCGCCGTCTGTGGTGGTGGTTGGTGGTGGGGAGTGGGGATTGGTGGGGAGTGGTGGTGGTGATGGCGGTGGTGGTGGTGGGTGGTGGTGGGGAGTGGGGAGTGGGGAAGGTGGTGAGTGGTGGGGAGTGGTGGGGAGTGGGAGTGGGGGGAGTGGGGAGTGGGGAGTGGGGGGAGTGGGGAGTGGGGGAGTGGGGGAGTGGGGGAGTGGGGGAGTGGGGAGTGGGGAGTGGGGAGTGGGGAGTGGGGAGTGGGGAGTGGGGGGGGTGGTGGGTGGTGATGGTGGTGGTGGGGAGTGGGGAGTGGGGGGAGTGGTGAGTGGGGAGTGGGGAGTGGGGAGTGGGGAGTGGTGGGGAGTGGGGAGTGGGGGGGTGGTGGGTGGTGATGGTGGTGGTGGGGAGTGGGGATGGTGGTGGTGGTGATGGTGGTGGTGGGGAGTGGTGGTGGGGAGGAGTGGAAGGGTGGGGGGAGTGGGGGGGTGGTGGTGGTGGTGGTGATGGTGGTGAGTGGGGAGTGGTGGGGAGTGGGGAGTGGGGAGTGGGGGGAGTGGGAGTGGGGGGAGTGGGGGGAGTGGGGGGAGTGGTGGGGAGTGGGGAGTGGGGAGTGGGGGGGTGGTGGTGGTGATGTTGGTGGGGGTAGGGGTGGTGGTGGTGGTGGTGGTGATGGTGGTGGTGGTGATGTTGGTGGGGGTAGGGGTGATGGTGGTGGTGATGGTGGTGGGGAGTGGGGAGTGGGGAGTGGTGGGGAGTGGTGGGAGTGGGGGGAGTGGGGAGTGGTGGGAGTGGGGAGTGGGGGAGTGGGGAGTGGGGGGGTGGTGGTGGTGGTGATGGTGGTGGTGGGGAGTGGGGAGTGGGGAGTGGGGAGGAGTGGTGGGGAGTGGGGAGTGGGGGGGGTGGTGGTGGTGATGGCGGTGGTGATGGTGGGGAAGGTGGTGAGTGGGGAGTGGTGGGGGGGGGGGTGGTGGTGGTGGGGAGTGGGGAGTGGTGGGGGGGGGGGTGGTGGTGGTGGGGAGTGGGGGGAGTGGAGGGGTGGTGGTGGTGGTGGGGAGTGGGGAGTGGGGGGGGGTGGTGGTGGTGGTGGGGAGTGGGGTGGTGGTGGTGGTGGGGAGTGGGGTGGTGGTGGTGGTGGTGGTGGTGGGGAGTGGGGTGGTGGTGGTGGTGGTGGTTGGTGGTGGTGGGGAGGAGTGGGGGTGTGGTGGTGGTGGTGGTGGGGAGTGGGGGGTGGTGGTGGTGGTGGTGATGGTGGGGGTGGTGGTGGTGGGGAGGAGTGGGTGGGGAGGGTGAGGGGGGGTGGTGGGTGGGGAGAGAGAGAGAGACAGAGAGAGAGAGAGACGCGGGTTGAGAGAGAAACACAGAGAGAGAGGGAGACACACACAGAGAGACACACGGGGTGAGAGAGAGACACGGGGTGAGAGAGACACGGGGAGAGAGAGAGAGAGACACACGGGGTGAGAGAGAGACACGGTGACAGAGACACGGTGACAGAGACACGGGGTGAGAGAGAGAGAGGGACACAGAGAGAGAGAGAGAGACACGGGGAGAGAGAGACACGGGTTGAGAGAAACACAGAGAGAGAGAGAGACACACACAGAGAGAGACACACGGGGTGAGAGAGAGAGAGAGAGACAGGGGGTGAGAGAGAGACACGGTGAGAGAGAGAGACACACACAGAGAGAGACACACAGAGAGAGAGACACGGGGAGAGAGAGAGAGAGAGGGAGACACGGGGGAAGAGAGAGAGACACGGGGTGAAAGAGAGACACGGTGACAGAGACACGGGGTGAGAGAGAGAGAGGGACACAGAGAGAGAGAGACACGGGGAGAGAGAGAGACACGGGGAGAGAGAGAGAGACACGGGGAGAGAGAGAGAGACACGGGGAGAGAGAGAGAGACACGGGGAGAGAGAGAGAGACACGGGGAGAGAGAGAGAGACACGGGGAGAGAGAGAGAGACACGGGGAGAGAGAGAGAGACACGGGGAGAGAGAGAGAGACACGGGGAGAGAGAGAGAGACACGGGGAGAGAGAGAGAGACACGGGGAGAGAGAGAGAGACACGGGGAGAGAGAGAGAGACACGGGGAGAGAGAGAGAGACACGGGGAGAGAGAGAGAGACACGGGGAGAGAGAGAGAGACACGGGGAGAGAGAGAGAGACACGGGGAGAGAGAGAGAGACACGGGGAGAGAGAGAGAGACACGGGGAGAGAGAGAGAGACACGGGGAGAGAGAGAGAGACACGGGGAGAGAGAGAGAGACACGGGGAGAGAGAGAGAGCCACGGGGAGAGAGAGAGAGACACGGGGAGAGAGAGAGAGACACGGGGAGAGAGAGAGAGACACGGGGAGAGAGAGAGAGACACGGGGAGAGAGAGAGAGACACGGGGAGAGAGAGAGACACGGGGAGAGAGAGAGACACGGGGAGAGAGAGAGACACGGGGAGAGAGAGAGACACGGGGAGAGAGAGAGACACGGGGAGAGAGTGAGACACGGGGAGAGAGAGAGACACGGGTAGAGAGAGAGACACGGGTAGAGAGAGAGACACGGGTAGAGAGAGAGAGACACGGGGAGAGAGAGAGAGAGAGACACGGGTAGAGAGAGAGACACGGGGAGAGAGAGAGACACACGGGGAGAGAGAGAGAGACACGGGGAGAGAGAGAGACACGGGGAGAGAGAGAGACACGGGGAGAGAGAGAGACACGGGGAGAGAGAGAGAGAGACACGGGGAGAGAGAGAGACACGGGGAGAGAGAGAGAGAGACACGGGGAGAGAGAGAGACACGGGGAGAGAGAGAGACACGGGGAGAGACACACACGGAGAGATACACACACAGACGCACAGAGACACACACACAGACGCACAGAGACACACACACACAGACACACGGAGAGCTAGACACACACACACAGAGAGACACACACACAGAGACACACACACAGAGACACACACAGACAGACACACACAGACACACACACACAGACACACACACAGACACACAGACACACACAGAGAGCTACAGACACAAACACACAAAGACAGACACACACAGACACAGAGACACACACACACACACAGAGGGCCACAGACACACACACAGACACACACACACACAGACACACACACACACAGACACACAAAAACACACAGACACACACACACAGACACAGACAGACACACACACACAGACAGACAGACACGAGAACTCACATCCGATCAGCAGGGCTGTTGCCATTGTAGCGACGTTATCCGCCATCACTGGTCCAGAGAGAGTGTCTACAGCCGACTTGAAGAGGAATGGAACCTGTACACTCAACAGCTAACATCACCACCATCACCACCACCATTAACATCATCACCATCACCATTAACATCATCACCATCACCATCACCACCATCACCACCATCACCATCATCACCATCATCACCAGTACAGAGTGTCTACAGCCGACTTGAAGAGGAATGGAACCTGTACACTCAACAGCTAACATCACCACCATCACCACCACCATTAACATCATCACCATCACCACCATCACCACCATCACCATCATCACCAGTACAGAGTGTCTACAGCCGACTTGAAGAGGAATGGAACCTGTACACTCAACAGCTAACATCACCACCACCATCATCATTAACATCACCACCATCACCATTAACATCACCACCATCACCACCATCACCACCACCACCATCACCATTAACATCACCACCATCATCATCATTAACATCAACACCATTACTACCATCATCATTAACATCACTACCATCATCATTAACATCACCACCATCACCATTAACATCAACACCATCACCACCATCATCACCATCACCACCACCATTAACATCACCACCATCATCATCATTAACATCAACACCATTACTACCATCATCATTAACATCACTACCATCATCATTAACATCACTACCATCACCACCAACATCACTACCATCATCATTAACATCACTACCATCACCACCAACATCACTACCATCACCACCATCATCACTACCATCATCATTAACATCACTACCATCACCACCATCACCACCATCATCACTACCACCACCACCATCACCACCATCATCACTACCATCACCACCATCACCACCACCACCATCACCACCATCACCACCACCATCACCACCAACATCACTACCATCACCACCATCACCACCACCATCACCACCAACATCACTACCATCACCACCAACATCACTAACATCACTACCATCATCACTACCATCACCACCAACATCACTACCATCACCACCATCATCACTACCATCACTACCATCACCATCACTACCATCACTACCATCACCATCACTACCATCACCACCATCATCACTACCATCACCACCATCATCACTACCATCACCACCACCACTACCATCACCATCACTACCATCACTACCATCACCACCATCATCACTACCATCACCACCATCATCACTACCATCACCACCACCATCACTACCATCACCACCATCACCACTACCATCACCACCACCATCACTACCATCACCACCACCATCATCACTACCATCACCACCATCATCACTACCATCACCACCATCATCACTACCATCACCACCACCATCACTACCATCACCACCACCATCACCAACACCATCACTACCATCACCACCACCATCACCACCATCATCACTACCATCACCACCAACATCACTACCATCACCACCATCATCACTACCATCACCACCAACATCACTACCACCACCACCACCATCACTACCATCACCACCATCATCACTACCATCACCACCACCATCACCACCATCACCACCACCATCACCACCACCATCACCACCATCACCACCACCATCACCACCATCACCACCACCATCACCACCACCACCACCACCATCACCACCATCACCACCACCATCACCACCACCATCACTACCATCACCACCACCATCACTACCATCACCACTACCATCACCACCAACATCACTACCACCACCACCAACATCACTACCACCACCATCACTACCATCATCACCACCATCACCACCATCATCACCACCATCACCACCACCATCACTACCACCACCACCATCACCACCACCATCACCACCATCACCACCACCATCACCACCATCACCACCACCATCATCACCACCACCACCACCATCACCACCACCACCACCATCACCACCACCATCACCACCACCACCATCTTCACCACCACCACCATCACCACCACCATCACCACCACCACCATCACCACCACCACCACCACCATCACCGCCACCATCACCACCACCACCACCACCATCACCGCCACCATCACCACCACCACCATCACCACCACCATCATCACCACCACCATCACCACCACCATCACCACCACCATCACCACCACCACCACCATCACCACCACCACCAACACCAACACCACCACCATCACCACCATCACCACCATCACCACCACCATCACCACCACCATCACCACCATCACCATCACCACCACCACCATCACCACCAACACCAACACCACCACCATCACCATCACCACCATCACCACCATCACCACCACCACCACCATCACCTTTGCTGTAGCCAGGAGTCCCATTGAAAGCACGACCCGGGCCTTCAAGTCAGGCCTATCCTTGGGCCACACGTGACTCAAGATGGCCGACGTGATCTTCATCGTGTTCACTTCCTTCATCTACAACGATAACAACGGAGAGGGTGGGGGGGGCGAGGGGGTGGGGGGAGGTGAGGTGATGGTTGAGTGGGTGAATGGGTGAGTGGGTGGGTGAGTGAGTGAGTGGGTGAGTGGGTGAATGAGTGGGTGAGTGAGTGGGTGAGTGACTGAATGAGTGAGTGGGTGAGTGAGTGAGTGAGTGGGTGAGTGAGTGAGTGACTGAATGAGTGAGTGAGTGAGTGGGTGAGTGAGTGGGTGAGTGAGTGAGTGGGTGAATGAGTGGGTGAGTGAGTGGGTGAGTGACTGAATGAGTGAGTGGGTGGGTGAGTGAGTGAGTGGGTGAGTGAGTGGATAAGTGGGTGGGTGAATGAGTGAGTGGGTGAATGAGTGAGTGGGTGAATGAGTGAGTGAGTGGGTGGGTGAATGAGTGAGTGGGTAAGTGAGTGAGTGAGTGGGTCGGTGGCAAATGGTGGTTGTTGGTGATGCTGCTGATGGGGTTCACCTCCTTGGGTTTGGTGTGCAGGCCGCCCCCGGCGTTTCCGTGCCAGCAGAAACGTGCCGGAGAGGCACAGAGAGGAGCCACGGCCTGAGACACGGGGGGAGAGACAGCACGAGAAGATGGTGCAGTGTTGAGTCTATGGTGTAGTGTTGTGTCTATGGTGCAGTGTTGAGTCTATGGTGCAGTGTTGAGTCTATGGTGCAGTGTTGAGTCTATGGGTAGTGTTGAGTCTATGGTGCAGTGTTGAGTCTATGGTGCAGTGTTGAGTCTATGGTGCAGTGTTGAGTCTATGGTGCAGTGTTGAGTCTATGGTGCAGTGTTGAGTCTATGGTGCAGTGTTGAGTCTATGGTGCAGTGTTGAGTCTATGGTGCAGTGTTGAGTCTATGGTGCAGTGTTGAGTCTATGGTGCAGTGTTGAGTCTATGGTGCAGTGTTGAGTCTATGGTGCAGTGTTGAGTCTATGGTGCAGTGTTGAGTCTATGGTGCAGTGTTGAGTCTATGGTGCAGTGTTGAGTCTATGGTGCAGTGTTGAGTCTATGGTGCAGTGTGGAGTCTATGGTGCAGTGTGGAGTCTATGGTGCAGTGTTGAGTCTATGGTGCAGTGTTGAGTCTATGGCGCGGTGTTGAGTCTATGGTGCGGTGTTGAGTCTATGGTGCAGTGTTGAGTCTATGGTGCAGTGTTGAGTCTATGGTGCAGTGTTTAGTCTATGGGTCTCAGTGTTGAATCTATGGTGCAGTGTTGAGTCTATGGTGCAGTGTTGAGTCTATGGTGCAGTGTTGAGTCTGTGGTGCAGTGTTGAGTATGTGGTGCAGTGTTGAGTCTATGGTGCAGTGTTGAGTCTATGAGCAGTGTTGTGTCTATGGTGCAGTGTTGAGTCTATGGTGCAGTGTTGAGTCTATGGTGCAGTGTTGAGTCTATGGTGCAGTGTTGAGTCTATGGTGCAGTGTGGAGTCTATGGTGCAGTGTGGAGTCTATGGTGCAGTGTTGAGTCTATGGCGCAGTGTTGAGTCTATGGTGCGGTGTTGAGTCTATGGTGCAGTGTTGAGTCTATGGTGCAGTGTTGAGTCTATGGTGCAGTGTTGAGTCTATGGTGCAGTGTTTAGTCTATGGCAGTGTTGAATCTATGGTGCAGTGTTGAGTCTATGGTGCAGTGTTGAGTCTATGGTGTAGTGTTGAGTCTATGGGCAGTGCTGAGTCTATGGTGCAGTGTTGAGTCTATGGTGCAGTGTTGAGTCTATGGTGCAGTGTTGAGTCTATGGTGTAGTGCTGAGTCTATGGTGCAGTGTTGAGTCTATGGTGCAGTGTTGAGTCTATGGTGCAGTGTTGAGTCTATGGTGCAGTGTTGAGTCTATGGTTAACAGTGTTGAGTCTATGGTGCAGTGTTGAGTCTATGGTGCAGTGTTGAGTCTATGGTGCAGTGTTGAGTCTATGGTGCAGTGTGGAGTCTATGGTGCAGTGTGGAGTCTATGGTGCAGTGTGGAGTCTATGGTGCAGTGTTGAGTCTATGGTGCAGTGTTGAGTCTATGGGCAGTGTTGAGTCTATGGTGCAGTGTTGAGTCTATGGTGCAGTGTTGAGTCTATGGGCAGTGTTGAGTCTATGGTGCAGTGTTGAGTCTATGGTGCGGTGTTGAGTCTATGGTGCAGTGTTGAGTCTATGGTGCAGTGTTGAGTCTATGGTGCAGTGTTGAGTCTATGGTGCAGTGTTTAGTCTATGGGTCTCAGTGTTGAATCTATGGTGCAGTGTTGAATCTACGGTGCAGTGTTGAGTCTATCGTGTAGTGTTGAGTCTATGGGCAGTGCTGAGTCTATGGTGCAGTGTTGAGTCTATGGTGCAGTGTTGAGTCTATGGTGCAGTGTTGAGTCTATGGTGCAGTGTTGAGTCTATGGTGCAGTGTTGAGTCTATGGTGCAGTGCTGAGTCTATGGTGTAGTGCTGAGTCTATGGTGCAGTGTTGAGTCTATGGTGCAGTGTTGAGTCTATGGTGCAGTGTTGAGTCTATGGTGCAGTGTTGAGTCTATGGTTAACAGTGTTGAGTCTATGGTGCAGTGTTGAGTCTATGGTGCAGTGTTGAGTCTATGGTGCAGTGTTGAGTCTATGGTGCAGTGTTGAGTCTATGGTGCAGTGTTGAGTCTATGGTGCAGTGTTGAGTCTATGGTGCAGTGTTGAGTCTATGGTGCAGTGTTGAGTCTATGGGTAGTGTTGAGTCTATGGGTAGTGTTGAGTCTATGGTGCAGTGCTGAGTCTATGGTGCAGTGTTGAGTCTATGGTGCAGTGTTGAGTCTATGGGCAGTGTTGAGTCTATGGTGCAGTGTTGAGTCTATGGTGCAGTGTTGAGTCTATGGGCAGTGTTGAGTCTATGGTGCGGTGTTGAGTCTATGGTGCGGTGTTGAGTCTATGGTGCAGTGTTGAGTCTATGGTGCAGTGTTGAGTCTATGGTGCAGTGTTTAGTCTATGGTGCAGTGTTGAGTCTATGGGCAGTGTTGAGTCTATGGTGCAGTGTTGAGTCTATGGTGCAGTGTTGAGTCTATGGTGCAGTGTTGAGTCTATGGTGCAGTGTTGAGTCTATGGTGCAGTGTTGAGTCTATGGTGCAGTGTTGAGTCTATGGTGCAGTGTTGAGTCTATGGTGCAGTGTTGAGTCTATGGTGCAGTGTTGAGTCTATGGTGCAGTGTGGAGTCTATGGTGCAGTGTGGAGTCTATGGTGCAGTGTTGAGTCTATGGTGCAGTGCTGAGTCTATGGTGCAGTGTTGAGTCTATGGTGCAGTGTTGAGTCTATGGGCAGTGTTGAGTCTATGGTGCAGTGTTGAGTCTATGGTGCAGTGTTGAGTCTATGGGCAGTGTTGAGTCTATGGTGCGGTGTTGAGTCTATGGTGCGGTGTTGAGTCTATGGTGCAGTGTTGAGTCTATGGTGCAGTGTTGAGTCTATGGTGCAGTGTTTAGTCTATGGGTCTCAGCGCTGAGTCTGTGGGTCTCAGTGTTGAGTCTATGAGTCTGTGGGTCTCAGTGCTGAGTCTATGAGTCTGTGGGTCTCAGTGTGGTGAGTCAGTGGGTCTCAGTGCTGAGTCTGTGGCTCTCAGTGCTGAGTCTATGGTGTAGTGCTGAGTCTGTGGGTCTCAGTGTTGAGTCTGTGGGTCTCAGTGTTGAGTCTGTGGGTCTCAGTGTTGAGTCTGTGGGTCTCAGGGTTGAGTCTGTGGGTCTCAGTGTTGAGTCTGTGGGTGACAGTGTTGAGTCTGTGGGTCTCAGTGCTGAGTCTGTGGGTCTCAGTGTTGAGTCTGTGGGTGACAGTGTTGAGTCTGTGGGTCTCAGTGTTGAGTCTGTGGGTCTCAGTGTTGAGTCTGTGGGTCTCAGTGCTGAGTCTATGGGTTTCAGTGCTGAGTCTGTGGGTCTCAGTGCTGAGTCTATGGGGCAGTGCTGAGTCTATGGTGCAGTGTTGAGTCTATGGGGCAGTGTTGAGTCTATGGGGCAGTGTTGAGTCTATGGGGCAGTGCTGAGTCTATGGTGCAGTGCTGAGTCTGTGGCTCTCAGTGCTGAGTCTATGGTGCAGTGATGAGTCTATGGGTGGCAGTGCTGAGTCTGTGGGTCTCAGTGCTGAGTCTGTGAGTCTCAGTGATGAGTCTATGGTGCAGTGCTGAGTCTATGGGGCAGTGCTGAGTCTGTGGGTCTCAGTGCTGAGTCTATGGGTCTCAGTGCTGAGTCTGTGGGTCTCAGTGTTGAGTCTATGGGTCTCAGTGATGAGTCTATGGTGCAGTGCTGAGTCTATGGGTCTCAGTGCTGAGTCTATGGGGCAGTGCTGAGTCTATGGGTCTGTGTTGAGTCTATGGTGCAGTGTTGAGTCTATGGTGCAGTGCTGAGTCTATGAGTCTCAGTGCTGAGTCTATGGGTCTCAGTGCTGAGTCTGTGGGTCTCAGTGTTGAGTCTATGAGTCTGTGGGTCTCAGTGTTGAGTCTATGGTGCAGTGCTGAGTCTATGGGTCTCAGTGCTGAGTCTATGAGTCTGTGGGTCTCAGTGTTGAGTCTGTGGGTCTCGTGCTGAGTCTGTGGGTCTCAGTGCTGATGTCTCACCAGTAGTAGCCTCCTCTGCTGCGGGGTTTCTGTCATTGGAGAGAATCTCCATCTCCTGGCCTGGGAAGTCACAGCATCAGCATCATCATCAGCACCTTCATCATCATCAGCAGCAGCAGCACAATCACCATCATCATCAGCAGCAGCAACATCAGCACGTGGGTGAGTGTGCGAGTGAATTCCTGGGTGGGTGAGAGAGATACACGGAGAGAGAGAGAGCCGCGGACTCCAGATATACAGCAGCAGGCATAGTCAGGATCCGGGATCGAACCCACGATCTCCTGCGTACCAGGCGAGGTAGTCAACATCTCCCTAGCCACCGTGATGTTAGGGTACGGGATCGAACCCACGACCTCCTGCATACCAGGCGAGGTAGTCAACATCTCCTAGCCACCGTGATGTTAGGGTCCGGGATCGAACCCACGACCTCCTGCGTACCAGGCGAGGTAGTCAACATCTCCTAGCCACCGTGATATTAGGGTCCGGAATCGAACCCACGACCTCCTGCGTACCAGGCGAAGTAGTTAACATCTCCTAGCCACCGTGATGTTAGGGTCCGGGATCGAACCCACGACCTCCTGTGTACCAGGCGAGGTAGTCAACATCTCCTAGCCACTGTGATGTTAGGGTTTGGATCGAACCCACGATCTCCTGCGTACCAGGCGAGGTAGTCAACATCTCCTAGCCACCGTGATGTTAGGGTTGGGATCGAACCCACGACCTCCTGCGTACCAGGCGAGGTAGTCAACATCTCCCTAGCCACCGTGATGTTAGGGCTGGGATCGAACCCACGACCTCCTGCGTACCAGGCGAAGTAGTCAACATCTCCTAGCCACTGTTATGTTAGGGTCCGGGATCGAACCCACGACCTCCTGCGTACCAGGCGAGGTAGTCAACATCTCCTAGCCACCGTGATGTTAGGATCCGGGATCGAACCCACGACCTCCTGCATACCAGGCGAGGTAGTTAACATCTCCTAGCCACCGTGATGTTAGGGTTGGGATCGAACCCACGACCTCCTGCGTACCAGGCGAGGTAGTTAACATCTCCTAGCCACCGTGATGTTAGGGTCCGGGATCGAACCCACGACCTCCTGCGTACCAGGCGAGGTAGTCAACATCTCCTAGCCACCGTGATGTTAGGGTCCGGGATCGAACCCACGACCTCCTGTGTACCAGGCGAGGTAGTCAACATCTCCTAGCCACCGTGATGTTAGGGTCCAGGATCGAACCCACGACCTCCTGCGTACCAGGCGAGGTAGTCAACATCTCCCTAGCCACCGTGATGTTAGGGTGCGGGATCGAACCCACGACCTCCTGTGTACCAGGCGAGGTAGTCAACATCTCCTAGCCACCGTGATGTTAGGGTCCGGGATCGAACCCACGACCTCCTGCGTACCAGGCGAGGTAGTCAACATCTCCTAGCCACCGTGATGTTAGGGTTGGCATCGAACCCACGACCTCCTGTGTACCAGGCGAGGTAGTCAACATCTCCTAGCCACCGTGATGTTAGGGTCCGGGATCGAACCCACGACCTCCTGCGTACCAGGCGAGGTAGTCAACATCTCCTAGCCACCGTGCTGTTAGGGTCCGGGATCGAACCCACGACCTCCTGCGTACCAGGCGAGGTAGTCAACATCTCCTAGCCACCGTGATGTTAGGGTCCAGGATCGAACCCACGACCTCCTGTGTACCAGGCGAGGTAGTCAACATCTCCTAGCCACCGTGATGTTAGGGTCCGGGATCGAACCCACTACCTCCTGCGTACCAGGCGAGGTAGTTAACATCTCCTAGCCACCGTGATGTTAGGGTCCGGGATCGAACCCACGACCTCCTGCGTACCAGGCGAGGTAGTTAACATCTCCCTAGCCACCGTGATGTTTGGGTCCGGGATCGAACCCACGAACTCCTGCGTACCAGGCGAGGTAGTCAACATCTCCTAGCCACAGTGATGTTAGGGTCCGGGATCGAACCCACGACCTCCTGCGTACCAGGCGAGGTAGTCAACATCTCCTAGCCACTTTTATGTTAGGGTCCAGGTCGTGTGTTCGATCCAGACCCTGACGATGCCTGCTGCTGTATATTTGGTGAGACGTTAACTACCTCGCCAGGTATACAGGAGGTCGCGGGTTCAATGCCGAGATGTTAACTACCTCGCCAGGTACACAGGAGGTCGCGGGGTTCAATGCTGAGATGTTAACTACCTCGCCAGGTACACAGGAGGTCGCGGGTTCAATGCTGAGATGTTAACTACCTTGCCAGGTATACAGGAGGTCGCGGGTTCAATGCTGAGATGTTAACTACCTCGCCAGGTATACAGGAGGTCGTGGGTTCGATCCAGACCCTGACGATGCCTGCTGCTGTATATTTGGTGAGACGTTAACTACCTCGCCAGGCATACAGGAGGTCGCGGGTTCAATGCTGAGATGTTAACTACCTCGCCCGGTATACAGGAGGTTGCGGGGTTCAATGCTGAGATGTTAACTACCTCGCCAGGTACACAGAAGGTCGCGGGTTCAATGCTGAGATGTTAACTATATCGCCCGGTACACAGGAGGTCGTGGGTTCGATCCAGACCCTGCCGATGCCTGCTACTGTATATTTGCCGAGATGTTAACTACCTCGCCTGGTGTACAGGAGGTCGCGGGTTCGATCCAGACCCTGACGATGCCTGCTGCTGTATATTTAGCGAGACGTTAACTACCTCGCTAGGTTCTTTTTTGGCTATTCCGGCAAATCCGTCACCTGGCGAGACAGCAGCAGCAGCAGCAGCAACAGGCGAAAACTGCCGAAATAACCCAAGGGTATGGGATTGCTGCAGTCACGAAAGCTTCAAGTGAAGACGGTTAAATTCTCGCGGGACCACGCGGCTCTATTTAAGAACGGGAGCCAGTGGAGGGGGGTGGCTTTTAACCATTCGGGCGAATTGCCCCGATGGTGCTGGGGACGTAATTTACCGGCGAAACATCACAGCACTATATTATGAGACCTCCTTTGCCAGAAACAAGATATCGTAATAGGTTTTACCCTTTTAAACTGGCACACAAAAACTGACACCTTTATTCAAGGCATCATTATGAGATCTCCTTTGCCAGTAACAAGATATAGGAAATAGGTTTTTACCCTTTCAAACTGGCAAACAAAAACTGACACCTTTATTCAAGGCATCATTATGAGACCTCCTTTGCCAGTAACAAGATTTAGTAATAGGTTTTTACCCTTTTAAACTGGCACACAAAAACTGACACCTTTATTCAAGGCATCATTATGAGATCTCCTTTGCCAGTAACAAGATTTAGTAATAGGTTTTTACCCTTTTAAACTGGCACACAAAAACTGACACCTTTATTCAAGGCATCATTATGAGATCTCCTTTGCCAGTAACAAGATATATAGTAATAGGTTTTTACCCTTTTAAACCGGCACACAAAAACTGACACCTTTATTCAAGGCATCATTATGAGATCTCCTTTGCCAGTAACAAGATTTAGTAATAGGTTTTTACCCTTTTAAACTGGCACACAAAAACTGACACCTTTATTCAAGGCATCATTATGAGATCTCCTTTGCCAGTAACAAGATTTAGTAATAGGTTTTTACCCTTTTAAACTGGCACGCAAAAACTGACACCTTTATTCAAGGCATCATTATGAGATCTCCTTTGCCAGTAACAAGATATAGGAATAGGTTTTTACCCTTTTAAACTGGCACACAAAAACTGACACCTTTATTCAAGGCATCATTATGAGATCTCCTTTGCCAGTAACAAGATATCGTAATAGGTTTTACCCTTTTAAACTGGCACACAAAAACTGACACCTTTATTCAAGGCATCATTATGAGACCTCCTTTGCCAGTAACAAGATATATGAATAGGTTTTACCCTTTTAAACTGGCACGCAAAAACTGACACCTTTATTCAAGGCATCATTATGAGACCTCCTTTGCCAGTAAAGGAGGTCTCATAGTGCGGAGCGACAGACCAGGTAGCTTTCACACAGCGTTACGCAACCGATGAAAAGATATTGCCGCTCGACTGATTCGGATTGAGACCTCTGCTGTTAAACTGGAGCCAGTCATAAGCACACTGCCCAGGTATGGGAAACTCTCCACTCTCTCCACAACTGCCCCATCACCGATTGGGAGTTGTGGGGGTGGAGTGTCCGATGGTACAAAATACCCAGGCAGGTGCTTAGTTTTGGTGGGGCTGATGGTAAGGCCCCACCTCTTAGTGGCACGCTCCAGTCTCAGCAGCAGCGTCTCCAACTCCTCCTCTGACTGAGCAGCTATTACCAAATCATCAGCATACATAACGTGGTTGAGCAATAGGGAGCCATCCCTTGACCGTACCCGGGCATCGATCAGCCTCCCATTATATCTGTACCAAATGGAGATTCCCCCGGTACAACTATTGAAGGCTTCACGAACTACGTGGTCAAAATAGATGTTATATAATGTGGGAGCCAGAGGACATCCCTGTCGCACCCCAAGGTGTACAGGGAATGGCTCTGACTCCCGGCCACGTAGTTTTACCCGGGCCCGTTCACCATCATGAAGGTCCTTAATGATCGTGAGCAGAGGGTCAGGGACTCCGAAAGCACGAAGAACGACCCAGAGCCCAGGCCTACTGATGGTATCATAGGCCTTGACCAGGCCAATAAAGCAGAGATGTAGGTCTTGTTGGAATTCCCTACACCACTGCTGTAGTAGACGGACAGAAAATATGGCATCTGTGCAGGACCGCCCTTTGCTGAAACTGCATTGGGGCTCCGCAAGCTTCTCCTCGGCGTGCCTGGCAAGGCGATGTTGAATAATCATTGCCAGGACCTTTCCCGGCACACTGAGGAGTGAGATGCCCCTGTAGTTGTTACAGTCTGTGCGGTCCCCCTTCTTAAAGAGGGGGACCACCAGGGCATCCTTCCAATCCTGCGGAACCTGTCCAGTGGTCCAGACTGGGTAGAGATCATCTCTACCCAGTGCCTTTCCTGGTCTCAGACTCCGAATCGCCCTCAGTACTTCCTCAACAGATGGCACCTCAGCCAGCCACTCACAGGGGGTGAC